ACTCCCTCTGGTAGTAATTGCTCGGAGGTTATGATTCCACTGACAATTAAAGTGACAGTAGATTTTTTGAGTACGTTTTGTTAGTTTTGTTTACCTAAATTATATCGTTTTTTTTTCTCTTTTATAAATATATTCCTAAAGTAAGTAGATAACATGCATTAAATATACAATCGTTTAGTTACCAACTACATACCTTTAAACTATTTTTTATGACCTGTAAACAATATTTTGAAATAAAATAAAAACAGTAAAAACGTATCTGTCAAATTTATTGATGTTTTTGTTAAAAGTTTGGTTAGAATTAAATGACATCACACCGAACTAGCGTATTAGGCATTCCAAACTAAATTACTACCAGTGGGTTTTGATATGGCAAAATTATGGCAACCCTGTAGGCCTGGTGATTTGACAAGGTCAATGAAATAGATAGTTACATAGATTGATTATCCATATTTTTCAAAATAAACATAAGCGTATGCCTTGAAGTAAAAATGTTAGCAATTATTTTTTTTAAAATATCTAAAGGCTAAAAATTGGTTTTTAAACACATTTTTGCTAAACCGATTCAAATTAATAAGTATTTGCCAGGCAATACGGCCGCTCGTAAACGACCAGCTTTGAGCAATCTATATAACTATATATGTATCATTGACCCTGTTATTGACAACATGACAACAGGGTTGCCATATCTAAACTGTCATTACCCACTGGTAGCCATTTGGACAGGTCGTTGGAATGCCTAATAATTGTAATCGGACCCTACCACTATTTATTATCACATCTTCAAAGCTGCCAACATTAAAAATGGACAAGGAGCAGACGTACGAGGTGAGTATAAATGGTCGCTTCTGGTGCTTCTGACAAGATGTGGACATGGGTGAATCAATTATTAAGGAAATCGAGGAAAATAAATTTATTTTTAAAATAATGTTTCGAGAAATCAATAATTATAATTATCAGTATCTAACTTTGGAGGAAAATAATAATAATAACAGGACTTTATTCATTACTTGAAAAGGAAAATATACAATAAGAATAATTTATGCGAGGAAAGACATATTTAAAAATGATAAAAAAGCCCAAGTTCAGCTTTCACTGTTTTTCAACTTAACCTAACAATAACAAAAAAATACATATCCAAATCGTAGAAAAGATAAATAAAAAACATACATGTTATTTATTTATTTTAACATCAAAAATTTTTGATTTAACACTTAAAATGGACCTGCTCCGGGATTTTCTCTTCAAATCAATAAATTATTTATCCGGACCTCACTGTATAAAGACAATTTTAATATATCTTTTTAAAGAATTTTGTATACCATTCTCTATTTATAAAGTGAATAATTTTGTTATAAATAATAAATGCATAAATAACTAGGTATTACCTAAAACAATTCCTCATCGAATGAAAAGTCTGCAGTTTTTGGTTGTTTTTTTATGTAATAACCCACCAAAAAAAAAGAACACCTGCTTACTGGAACATCACTAGCATCACCCATTTTATCTTTTGGATAAAAATCGTCCCAATTCTACTACATGAACTTAACAATTTATCCATTAACAATTTTCCGTGGCACCTGTTATAAAAACATTTTTATTTTCATAAAATTCTGGAATTGAAATTTCACTTTCTACGTATTCCCACATTTTGTTGAAAATGACATAAATTTCACGTTTTAGGATTATAGAAGAATGATTAATTAATGACACAAGCAAAGGTATTGTTCTTTTTTCTTTTTAATGAAGATAATGGTAACCAAAAAAAAAAAAAAAAAAATGCGCTGGATACTCATACTGTGAAAATAAATCATATTACTTTGCAAAATTTAATCTATTAATAGATCTATTATTATTAAGTACAGTATACAGTGTCCAAAATTAATCTAATCATACAGTAAACTCAAATCAACAATTTACTTCATAATTCTTTTTAGTTGTTTCGGGAACTATTTTGCTGAACAATTTCAGATTTTTTTTTAAAAATTCGTCCACAATAAAATACTTAGAAATATGTTTATGTCGCTATGTCACACGTTCATTTTGATAGGGATACGCGACAGAGCTGTGCGGTATTCAAGTACAAGTACTCGATAGCTGTACTCTAAGTACATTTAGTGTACTTGGTAATCAGTCCAGAGTACATTAGGATCCTATGTATTTGTACTTGTACTTTCACTGTATTGAGAACGTTTGTACTCAAGTACATTTTAGAGTACTGTAAGTACTTTTAAATGTACTTAAGTACTTCAGACAAATAAGTACTTTAAGTACTTTTGAATGTACTTAAGTACTTTTGAATGTACTTAAGTACTTCACACAAATATTGCGCAGTTCACATTTGTTTAGACTTGTCTCAATCTCAGTCTGTCTGTTCCAACTGCCACGTGCAATGTTTGATTCGATTTGTCGGTAGCCGGAGACGGTAGTGTTTTAAAAGTGCCGATCAGCCGAAGTTAAGTAAGCCGAAGAATATGAAAGTCGATTTCCAGGGCCCTAGACATTACAGTGCAAATTTGATTTTGGACGCATGTCTTGAAGCACTGTTTAAACGGTTTTCCTCTGTTTTTCATTTAGAATGTGAAGAAGCACTAATATCCGCAGTTTCTTGTCCAAAATTTAAACTTTGGTAGTTCAACACCCTAAAAAGTGAGCTACAGTCCCAGACAGGAATCTCATTGGACAGTATAAAACAAACATTTATTTCATGTGCTGAGCGGCTGTTAGATTCTGAAAATGTTGATAATGACAATGGTAGCAATGATAGTAATGAACACGATACTGAAAACGAATATGAAGTTTTTTTTTTATTTTGACGAAATCGAAACATCAGAATCTAAGAAATCTAAGAAAGTAAACAAACACGATAAAAGAAGATCAAAAGTTGAGTTGGAGCTTTTACATTATCTTGAGGATAAGAGAACCGATCTGTCCATGCTGGATGACTACCCAACAATAAAAAAAGTTTTTATACGGTATAATACATGTTTACCATCTTCTGCTGCAGTGGAGCGACTTTTTTCATTTGCAACAATGTTAAACGACCCTCGTCTCCATGCTCTTACTGATGCAAATTTTGAAAAACTTGTAATATTAAAGGCAAATAAAATTGGTTCCTAGAAAGGCATTGTGCTCATATCCAGAGTTAATCGACTAAATACAACACAAAATTTTCTGTAGTACTTAGTATTTAGTTGCCCGACTGTGGATATCTAATATATTTAAACCTATACTGGTATATACATATAGTTTACAAAATTCATAAGATTATACAATAAACAATTAATTATTAATGTACTTGGTACTCTGTACTTACAAAAGTACTCGAGTACTCATTAAGTGTGCTTTTCTACGTTATGTACTTGGTATTCGAGTACTTTTTGGGAAGAGTACTTGTACTCTGTACTTAAGTACTTTTTTCTTGTACTTGGAAAAGCTCTGATACGCGATCACGTGGTCAAATGGGTAATCAATCACCACATTGATGCGACACTTGCATCAAACAGTTTATTTTATTTATTAAATACACTGCTCTACTTGCTAAATTTAAAGTGGAGAGACAATCAAATAAGGCTTCATAATCAATAATTTTAAGACTTAGAGGTATGTAAGTAAGTAGTATTAATATTTTGTATTAATTTAATATAATCGTAGTGTCTAGAATATCAATAATTGGAATAATATCGCTAATAAATGTTAGATCTATTTCATTACTAATACATTTTTTATTGACAGTTAGAAAAGCACCCCCACTGTAATTTAATTTAACTTGAGAAGTAGACCTATCCTTTTTATAAACATGATAATTATCGGAAAATATCTCACAGCTTCGAAAAGATTAGTTTAACCAAGTATCTGTCAATGATACACAATCAAAATCGGACTGAAGAGAAAACAAGTAAACGGTATTTATTTTAGTTATAATTCTGTTTTGCTTATTTAAATAGTTTCTTGATTAAAACAATTTACTGTAATTGTTTCATATATAGTAGACGGCACAGATAAATTTTACTATTCCACAATTAAATATCAGTATTATTAATATATCTATATTTAATTTGCAAAGACACAGCCGACGTCCAGCTTAGAAAACACAGTTGTCAAACTCCAAAAATAAAGTGGTGCGATCAATTCTATTAGAGCTAAACGACTGTGTACGTTAAACGCATAGTACCCTTCGAGCAAATATGCTGGAACTGAGTATCAAATAAATATTTTATGACTGGCATCGCTGTATGATGAGAATCTGTCGGCTCGATTAATTATAACACCTTCATTTTAGCGTCTCCTATTGGTCGAATCGAGCCTTTCTCAAATTTCTATTTGCTGTAGCCCAAGACAACCTGTAAGAAAAGCCGGTCAACATGGACTGGGATATTCAATAGCAATTCTGTGATTTTGTTCATTTGGCACGCTTCTATGCTTCACTCCTGGGTAGCTATTCTTGAATTCGGGGGAATAGAAAATCGGTTTTGCCTCTTTATCTGCAACGCGCAAAATTTGTATTTTTGTCTCATTCTTTCCTCAAAATTTCTACTCCCTGAGATTCAAGAATAGATACCCTGTCCTGTTACAGCCCCTGGCTAATTCGAATGCTACTTATGGATACTTTTGGATACTTTTTGAAAAAAAAAATTCTGAAATTGTTTTCCAAACGTTTTCCAAAATATAGCCAGATGCTGTCCTTAAGAGGATTATTTTTTTATCGCCGACACCCAAAAGGCATTATGAAATAAATTCTACATCAAAAATATTGGTTTTTAAATTGTAATTAAATTAATTTTGGACACTGTATGTATTTAATAATAGTAGACCTAAATGCATCTTTCAAAGTATTATGTAACTAACACATTTAGTATTCCAGCGCATTTTTTTTTTCATTTGATTACCATTATCCTCATTAAAAAGAAAAAAAGAAAAAGAACAATACCCGCACGTGTATCATTAATTATGATTCTTATATAAATTTACAAATTAGAGTTCATATCATTTTCATCAAAATGTGGGGACACGACGAAAGTAAAATTTCAATTCCCGAATTTTATAAAAATAAAAATGTGTTTGTAACAGGTGCCACGGGATTTATAGGAAAATTGTTAGTGGAAAAATTGTTAAGATCATGTAGTGGAGTTAAAAAGATTTATGTCTTAATAAGGCCTAGACATGGGAAAAGTCCGCAAGAGAGGATGAAAGAAGCTACTGATGATCCAGTAAGTAGGTGTTCTTTTTTGTCTTTTGAATATTTGTGGGTAATTAAATAAATAAAAGTCAAAAACTACAAAGTTTGTATGTTATAGAGAAGTGTTAGGTAATAGTTATTTATGTATTTTTTGGTTAACAATATTTATTTTTTAAATAGAAAATGGTGTATACCATTACTTATGTTAGTACTGACTTTATACAGTGAGGTTTTAAAATAATGAATAAAGAATTTTCGACCTAATCAATGATTTGAAAAAAAAAAAATCTGAAACAAGTCGATCAAATTGTCGGTTTAGTCGTTTTAACCTGTCAGATTAAAACAAGAAAACCGACAATTCCGAAGCAGAAGCGGATAATTAAAACGCACCTATTAAAAATATTCCCGCATGTCGAATATCTAATATAAATATAACTATTTCATATGATTTTATGTGTTCAAATTGTTACACCCTGTAAATTTAGTGTCTTATCTACTAGATATATTTTTATATTTGGTAGCGGAAGTTGGAATTAAATAGTTGTAGAATCAACATAACGGGCGTCCCAAAAGTTTTGGGAAAAAACTTAAATATTTAAAAAATTTATTTATCCCTCATAATACTACGTACTACGTACAATATCGCTGAAGTGACGGAATCTGAAGTTCTTACTGCGTTAAAGAAGCTGAAACCTAAATTAACAACCGGTCCTGACAATGTTCCCGCTTTTTTATTAAGAGACTGTGCTATGATATTTTGTAAGCCATTAACTGTTAAAACTTCGGACTTTCCAGATATCTGGAAGTTGTCAAGAATATGTCCTGTTTTTAAAAATGATAATAAAAATGACATCAAATTATCGTCCTGTTACAATCTTGAATAACTTCTCGAAAGTGTTTGAAATAGTAGCAAATAATTATCTTTCGTTTCAGTGCCGTAAAATTATAACTCCGTCTCAACATGGCTTTATTTCTGGTCTTAAATTATTATTATTATTATTAACGTCCTTTCTCATTTGTTACAGCTTTTCGATACAATAAGAAAAGAAAATAGTGAAGCTCTAAATAAAATAATACCTATTAGTGGTGATATAGAAAAAATAAATTTTGGTAAGTACCAACTTTTACCTATTGATATAGTCCAGTATAACTAATGGACTAATAAAAATACCCATTTATCTTTAAATGTTCACTTTATTCTTTGCCCTGATATGACGTCGGATACTGTAATACAATGTAATATTTGGAATGCCCGGTTATATTCACTCTGATCAAGGTTCGTCATTCACGTCAAATGAGTTAAAAAACATATTTATATTATAGAGGAATAGACCTGCTATTCCTTAAAATTTTGAAGAAATCAAGAAAACCCAAATTAGGAAATTAGTGTTAGAATAAGCTTTTCATTTAATACGTTCTCTTCTTTTTATTGCTAAAAATTGTAAACCTCATCAACGAATGTTTCATCATTTAAGACAATCATCAATTGGGAGAACTTGTGACGAAGTTACTAAATTTTTCATTAGTTTAATTATAAAATGTTAAATTTAGGTTATTTTAAGTATGTTTAGTTCAAGTTATTTTCTGCCTGATGTTTTGAGGAACACCCGTATTTTTGTTTTTTAATAATTCCCGGTTTTAAACGTTTGTGAGTGCCCCCTGTGGTTTAAAATATATTATTTGCTGAAATGCGAATCCCGCGTTAGACGCTCAATTTCGTGTAAATTTATCTGGTCATTTTGGTAAAAGGAGTTGTAAATATTGACTACTGCAACTCCCAACCCTTTCGGGTAACCAAATTATTCCGAGTGTGAAGTATTTAATAAGCTTTCATCGAGCACTCGGTCTTTTTTGCTGCCGGTATTTTTGCACGCCTTTTGCTGCCCATTTTGTGCGCCTAGTTATCATTAGTGAGCTACAGAGAGTTTTCCTGTGATATTTTCCGTGCCGACACACCGCAAACCGTTGTTGAAGGTAGGAATCAAATCATATTATTTTTACTTACTTTTGGAAGCAGCAAGAACTTTTTTCCTGGGCATCGGCCGCCTCTAAATAATTATTTGAATAGCCTGAGAAAATTAGTTAATTTAACCACACTAATTTTGACTTCAACTGGCTTAAAACCTGAATATTTTTTACTTTTAGATGTCATTTTTCTTTTGGGTCAGCAACCAACGTGCTGATTGGTGACCCCAGACTTGTACAAAATACCCCAGACCAATAGGAAAGTATAGGGAGCGACAGGTCTGTGCTATTTGAGTTTCCCGTAGTTTTGTCTTTCTCATTTTAGCAAAATACGGATCACTATTGATTGCGTCCAAAACCTTGGCAAGTGTTTGTTATATCTTTTTAATTCACTTAAAAATTTAAATATCGTTGATTTGCTTTCACCTAATATATTACTTGTCTTATCAACAGTATCGTCAACAGAAAACGAAGGACGTTGCGTTATTAGGCAATTATAAACATTGCTAAGAAATATTTTCTCGTTAACTTACAACGCACACTTCTTATACGTTTCACAGGTGTAAACTTTGAACTTGAACCACACTGCATTTTTCAATACTTCTGTAACTATTAACGAAAATAACCACAACTTCATACTATAATAGATAATATAGAAGACTAATCAAAGAGTTATTACAGTCTAATTTAAAATGGTAGTTCTAATTATATAACAGTCATAACATCGCTGTCATTTACCCAATCGCCTTGTGTGAAATCATTCACATGATAGCTTTCTATTAGCCACTTGTCCCGGATTACGTAGTCTTCGAGAAATTCTATATATGCCAGAGTTGGCTTTTTAAATTTATACGTACCAGTGTTGGCTTTATGATTTTTTATGTTTAAATACAAAATATTTTTTTTCTGTGTTCTGTTTTAAATGTATTATGTTGAATAACACCTGTATTGGCAAAACTGAGGTTACTAGTTTTAGGCTAAGTGTACATATTGATATTATCTTCCAGTACTACTTTAGAAACAATACTGTTAAACCGTGCTTGTCCTAATAAAATTGTCAGTAAGAGCAAGTAATGTTTTCATATTTTTGATATATATTATTTTTAGGACTCAGTGAAACAGACAAAGCAACAATCATTGAAAACGTAACAATAATCTTTCACTCTGCAGCATCTATTCGTTTTGATGACCCTCTAAAAAAGGCGGTTTTTGTTAACGTCAGAAGTGCCAGAGAAATAATGTTATTAGCAGGACAACTCAAAAAAATTGACGCATTTGCATATGTATCGACTGCCTATTCTAATTGTGACAGACTAATTGTTGAAGAAAAGTTATATCCACCTAAAATTCATTGGAAGGATATAATACGACTAGTTGAAGAATATGACGAAGTAACTCTACAACATTTAGGTCATAAGCTAATTTATCCGATGCCAAATACATATGTTTTTACAAAGGCTCTAGCAGAACACGCTGTGATGGAACTCGCCAAAGATAAAATACCAACTGTAATACTGCGACCGACTATAGGTAGGTAACCAGTGTTTAAAATTATGTTATTGTTTAATATTCTATAAAAATTATTTCAAATCCTGATAATACCACACATTCAATAAGTCTTTTAAATTAAAGGTAATTTTAAATCCACAGAATATTAATATTTTTAAACCTTGTTCCATTATATCTGAAACTTGTTCACAATATAATGTTAATTCATCAAGTGAACCTGAACCAGTAAGTAAATCAATAATAGACTTTCTAAATAACAGTTAAATGCTGCCAACTTATGTGAAACTGGATGATTATTATTATGCATTTAACTGTTGTTATTTAGGCATTCCAAACAAAATGGTTGCACATGAGTAATGCCAAGTTGTAACAGTCTACTTTAGATCGCCGCGCGCATGCCTGTCACCTGTCCCTTCTTTCTTTTAGAGTAATACAGTGTTGCCGTATTTATTATTTTACAAAGGATTATATTACTATAAAATAAATAAACATACAAGTTTAGTAATCATTTCCAAATATGTTTATTGTGTCTTTTTCACACACAATGATTTAAAAAATAATCTTTTCAAAATAATTTTTAAATTGTATCTATTAAATTTTGAGTTTCCATACTCAAACGACTTTATTTCAGGCAAAACCACTGATTTAAGATTTAAGATAAAAGATAAATAATATTAGTAAAACCAACGTTTTGGTGTGGATGATTATAAACAAAAACTTTCAAATATTTCTTCTTAAAAATAATTATTTTTGTTTTAGTATTTTCAACGTATTCTGACCCGATTCCTGGATGGTTAGACAACATAAATGGAACAGCTGGTGTTCTTTATGGCGTAGGAAAAGGTAAGAACAAATCATTTTTGGGCATTGTTGTTCATTTCACGGAATCAAGTTAGTGCATCGGAACAATGACGCCACGTTCTAGAATCCCCAATTAATTAATTTGCGACTCAAGTCAAGCAATACACACCAGTGCTGCTAGAAGGAAAACATAAAACGTATCAGAAAAACGGACTAGATTGTTCCAAATAGTATTGTATTGAGAAAATTTAATAAATGTACTAAAAAGTCAAGAAATTAAATTTACTAAGATACGGCGGGAATTTCAAATTTAAAATCTCTAAATTTCTTTTTACAGGGTGGGCCACCGGTAACGCCTTGGTCTGTAGAGCCAAAATATTTAATTTTTTTAAATTTGATTCCACAGTGAGATGTATAACAGAAAAGGCAACAATTTAAAAAAAAATTCAATTATACAGGGTTCTCCAAGAAAGTGATACATATCAAAGTTAGGTTTTTGAAATAGGTCACCCTGTATTTAATTGTATATTTAAATTGCCCTTGCAATTTTTCACAATCAGGGGCTATTTACTTTGGCAGGCATACTCAACGAGAAGTAAGAAATTTCGCAATAAGTGAAAAATTTACAAAGAAGGTGCTGGACACGAGCTATTATAACCCAGGGAAATTTGGTCGCATTTACGAAAATTAATATCGGACGGACATTCATTCATTGAAAAAAGGTTTTTCCCAAAATATACGGTTTAATACATCGTAGAGGAGCGTAGACAAACATATTATTTACAAATGATTTGAATGTATTAGAACACAAAAACAAAATTATTTATTATAGACAATTATTTTACATAGGTGTAATAAGATCATTATGGGTAAACATGGAAACATTAGGTGATCACGTTTTCGCAGATAGTGTGGCAAAAGCTTTAATAATAGCAGCATGGAGGAAAGCATTATCGTAAGTAAAAGTTAATTGTATGGTGTATGGTATTTATAAAGTGTGCCCTCCTATTATGTTTGATAGAAGAGTTTTTTATTTAATTCATTTAACGTCTGCTTATTTCTAATAACGAGGTTTAAACACCGAAACTGGTAAATACCAGAAATTTAGCTTCAATCAAACCTTCCTTAAATTAAGTCTTTTTTTATAGTAAAAAAATTTCACAAATCGTCGTTAATTTCAATAAGCGGTGTAACTCGATTTTCACAACATTACAAGAAAGCGTTTTAAAGATTTTTATAAAGTTAAACCAAATGGCAACAGGTAACAGTAACAATCTAAAATCTAATTTTTGGTATACTAGAAGATTAATGTATCAAGTAAATGTCTATATATCAATTTTCTTAAAATGGCGACAATGAGATACGTCACTTTGTGAAATTGAAAAACCATTGCGAAACGACATAAAACTGAGTTACGTCAATTTATTAGGATATACTATAGTGCAGAAAAATTTAATAAACAATAAATTTATTAAAAAATTAACCACAATTTTATTAAAAATCAACAACAAATATACAAAACCAGATACAAAACCATTATAGACAAACAAATATAAATAATACAAATAAATTAAACAAAATTCTGTATTTAAAATAATAAAATTTAAAAAATAAATAATAATTCTAATAAAAAAATAACTAATAATGAAATTGGATATTACTTGGGAATCAAGTATTGTGTGGGAGATTAAAATAAAAGATTTTATGCTCCTGGTTTCTAACTACTGTCAAATACCCTTCATATATTGACTTAAGGTCAAGGTATTTCTCAGCTTTGAGTTTTAGAACTTCTCGATGTAGAGGCTCCAAATTAACTTCAGATAAATCAGTTTGTAATCTTTCAAGTGTAAGCGAATCGAAGTCTTCTTGAAGGTGAATATTTTTGAAAAATATTTTAAATGGATAAGATTTCTTGACCTTTAATTCCACAATTCCCTTCCAGGGAATGACTCAAAAAATCTAAGCGATATCTCCTCTATGTTTTTAGAGTTTGCCACCGTATTCAGAAGCATGGTTGCAGTAAGCAGTAAGCATCTGTATTTTATCAGAGGACGGCTACGCTACTTTTACTGCGACTTTTAGTTCAGTATCGGGCCACCAGTTTCCTAACCTAAAAATATTTTTATCTTTTTGATATTGTTTACGTGTCGAGCCAGGTTAAGTACAAATAAATCGGTTCGGTAGTGACCCACAACCGCCTATGGCGAAACCCGAATGGGTAGCCACAGAATCCCCTCAACCCAAGAACTCAGAAGATCCAAACTTTTTAGACTCCCTATATTCCAGACGGCACAAGGACAAAATTGAGAAACTAACACAAACCACTATATCTCAAGTTCCACAAAAGAAGTCCCCTCACAGCCCTAGAAGCCGCAGTCACGGAAGAAACCACCCATACAGACATGTAAGTACCCCGAATGTCAAATATGTCTCATGCAAGTCGAGATCCAGCTCCAGAAGGGACTCCTCGACGAAAAGTTCAAGAAAAAAAAAGTATGGAGAAAATGCAAACCCTTAAAGCATTGACAATAACTCAGACCTAGAAAAGGCAATAGAAGTAACAGTATCCCAACCCACTGGCCATACCCAAAGTGCGCTGCAAATCTCCAAAATTTCACCTCTAGAAAGTATGGAGAACAGGGTTTGTAGTGACAAACCCACATCAGTGTTCCTCAAACTTTTTATTCCGGAATCGGACGCGAAACCGGTAACGCGTAGGAGCTCGGACGACTCCCCGGATAACGACAGGAACTTCGAAAGTGCGGACAGCTCGCCATTAAACGACACAATTGTGAACTTTTCAGACTTTAACGCGTAAAATAAAGATGCTGAAAGGAACCCCGGTAGCGCGTGTAAATCACTTGACAGTCTAGTTTTCTATGTTGCTGTCAGACTGAATATGATTAGAATTCCAGATTCTATTATTTCTTTAGAAAGTGGAATATCATCACTAGCACTTTCTGGAATATTTTTTAATTTTCTTATTTCGGCTAAAGGCACTTCATGAGAATTCTCGCTGTCGTCAACACTTGTGTTTTTTAATCCAATATCGATCACTGTGCCATAAAACCATTTTTTAATGTAAAAAATCTTCACTTCACTGCCTACTTTAATTTTTCTATTTTTTGTCACACTTCTAAGTTCTTTTATGTCTACAATATTTTTGGATCCATCTTTAACTTAATGCTTTCCTAAGAACAACTGCTGAATATCCGTTTAATTGCACTATGCACGGGTCAGAAGTTTGCAAGTCGTATCATGTTAATATTGAGATACGCCACCTTGAATTTTCCTAAAAGTTCGAAATAAAATTTATCAAAGTGACTTAAGTTGAGTTACGCCTATTCCTTAAATTGTATTTCGGCAAAATATAAAAAGAACCCGTGACATACGCCAGTCTATCGAAGTAGCTATAACGAATTGAGATACGCCACTTGCTGAAGTTGTAGAACATACTTTTTTACCTATGTAGGTGAAGTATCTCAAAAACCGATTTTTTTCTAGATAAGTCACTTTGTGAAATTGACGACGAAATGTGTTTTAGCCAATCAGAAGCGTGTTTTTTTGATCCGTTATCAGGCAATCCAAAATATTAGAATTTAACTGGTTGTATTGCTGAAAGAGACAATTAATGGATTAAACGACTTACCTGAAAGGAAGTTCAATCCAAATTGTACGAACTGCTGGGCCCCAATATATCCATAATATGTAGTATACTCTCGATTGATCGAAGTGTACGATTATTTCACAACATTTTTAAAGATACTAAAAATTTTTGGGTACGCCGCTGCCGCATTCCATGCCTATCATCGACGACCCGATATACCTCATTATTTTGTTGTGGTCCTAGATCGCTGATTTCTTTTGGGGTTGGTTATAAAATCGTTTTTCACAGGAGGGGAGGGAAGTGGATATATTGGGGCCCAGCAGTTCGTACAATTTGGATTGAACTTCCTTTCAGGTAAGTCGTTTAATCCATTAATTGTACTTCACTGCTGGGCCCCAATATATCCATAATATGTAGATGTTTAGAGATCAACAGCGATCATAATCATTTAGAGAAACACGATTGATTTTTAATAAAAACCAAATATTTTGTTAAAGAGGAAAAATTATTTTCAAATTGAGTTTTTTTTTTTTTTTTTTTACATTCTATGTACACGCTGTATATATATACACTTATACGAGTATAAATCTAACATTGAATTCAGCTAAATTTAAACACAAAAAAACGTATATTTAGCGAAACTAAATGGTTATTTTTTGTAATCCTTAAGATTTAGATCCCCATAATTTTGAAAAACAGCTTCGTTGTAAATTTATTGAAGTTACTCGATTTTTAGCAGCTTTTCGTATAACCAATGTCATGTAGAGTAATTATAACCTGTTAAAAACTATGTGTCTTCGCCACTTTTTCCAGCTATCGAATGATTGTGAAGATACAAAGTGTATCAGTTATTTGACTGTTAGGAAATATTTTAGTTTATCTCCTTGTCTGAGAGGATTGGTCAACTGTTGGTATTGTATTAAGGCGCAGGCTGTGAACAAAGTCAGATCATCGTTAAAAAATTTAAAGACTAAAAGTGGTTTCTCCCTGTCTTTCTTTCTCTCTCTCTCTCTCTTTCTCTCTTTCTCTCTCTCTAATATTTGTCAGATATTTTCATTTTTGAAAATATTTGTTTTCTTTGAACAGATGTCAATGCAATTAATATGCAGCATTTCTTTGTCAAAGTTTCCAGAGAAAGATTTTCGTTGGGGTGTAAGATTGTTAGATAAGATAGAACTACCACTCGTCCCAAGTAGATGTGTATTTAGGATAAGTTACCTTTATTCAAAAAACCTCTTCCAGGAATCTTTTGATTAAAGATTCTTCCTCATTTTTAAATTTAGCAATTATTTTACCGACGTCTTAAACTTGTCAGTTTTTTGTTTCGAGCAAAAACTCCCACCACTTATTTTTATATGATGATCCATATTGTTTTGGAGTAGTTACTCCAAGAGGCTAAAATTATAGGAATGCACGATTCTAGAGTATTATTTCGTTGACGTGCTTCCCGGATAATTTCGCTACTGCCAGGGCAAGTGTCTTGATGAGGGGGTATTCTTCCTTAAAAGGAGACAAAAGTAATTTATTTGATGGTACCAATCATGTTATTTTTGATATTGCTACTCTATTAAAAAGTGGATATCATGATTGAGTTTTCTAATGCGGTACAACACCACTATACCTTCAGTTTCATCTGATACAATTTTTTTTCTTCTAGCATTTGGGGGGTAACCGTAGAAGGAGGAAAAGCATCATTTTTTTTTTTTTTTTTTTTTTTAGTTTGTTTCCGGTTTAGAGTAAATGCCTTTACCGCTATTGATGCAGGATACATAATATTTACATTTTTTATTTATTATGGTTGCAAATAAGTCAATTTTGTTTCTTTATTATCTGTTGAGTTGATATAAAAAGCAAAAATGAAAATGTTTCTTTTTTCACACCAATACCAATATAATTTTTGTAAGGTCATTTAAATTTTATGACACCCATTTTATTAATGTGTAATATGGCTGTGGTGTTTTCATTTCTTGATCAAATATTGCAGTTACACAATTTTATTTGCAAAATACTTGTGGCCATAAAAGGCTGCCAAGAGTTCTAAGTAATTAATATGTTATTAAGAACAATTCCAGAACACCGATACACCTTATTCTATTTTTAAAATCCCTCACCCCGATAGGGACGCATTTGAGAAAATTTCAATTATGCACCCATGTTTTTTGAAGCAAACTTGAGCTTACTGTATATTATTAATCCACCATTCAATTTCTAGTACTATGTTTCCCGGTAACATGATTTAAGAATTGTACTCCCCCTCTTTTCAAACCTAAATATTTAATTTTTTCGATATTTTGTTGCAGAGCATACTAAAACGAAAGTGTCTTTTTTGCCAATTTTTTTTTTTTTTTTTTTTTTTTAACAGCTGCTGTAAAAGTTTTTGATTTTCCTATTTTTCTAGAGGTATGCTTATTGACAAGTTCTGTGAGTTAAATACAAAATCTGAAATATTTGCATGTTTCAGAAGGAGCTATTGAGCTTTCTCCTTGTTAATTATGAACCCTAGATTTGTTTGCAACTCTAAAGCGAAAGTTTTATTTTTTATGCATTCGCTTTTTGTCTGACTCGTTATTAATAGGTCATCAAGCTATATAACCAATATAATATTTTTGGGTATTAATTTGTGCATAATTTTGGTAAAAATATATGGGGCTGAACTAAGGCCGAAGGGTAAACATTGAATATTCATAAAGTATATTACTGAATTTAAACCTTAACTATTTTTTGTAAGTTTTTCTAATTGGGACTAAAAATAGGCATCTTGCAAGTCTATTGCGTACATATAACATTGCAATGTTTTTGTACTGTTCGGAATTCCTCTAGTTTAAATTGGATTGCTATCACATACACATTTATTAATTTATATTAGATTGAGTAAAAACCTATGTTTGCCACTTGGTTTTGTTCTAAGAAAATAGCTAGATACGAACTTATTTGAGCGCATTACTTAATGGCACCTTTCTTTGAAAAAATTTAAATTTCAAGTTTAATTGCAGATAACTCTGCCTTTAAGAAATTTCTGTTTGGTGAGGGTTTCATTTGGATTGACTTTTTGAAAAAAATAATTTTACTATCTTTTATGCAGTTCAGAACAAAAGTATTGTTTGCTAAAACCCGCCATTCATTGTAATGAAATTTTATTATGCCTGCAACTTGACCTATATCAGAGTTTAATTTTGGTATTGGTATCCTTGACGACGATGCTCGGTAGTGTTTGCTCTTTGTTCTTTAACCTGTTCTGGGTCTCTTTCTTTGGTAAGATAGTTTTCCCATCTATTTGCAATATCGTCTTTTAGGTGAGTGCCATCAGTGGTATGTGTCAGCCAATCTGAGATATTAACTACCTGACCCTGGGAGCGTAGACTTAACTTGAATCTGAGTCATCAGAAAAAATTTGATGTATTGACACAATATCTTTTGTGAAAGAATAAGCACTATAAATCAAAATCCAAGATTCATGAGCGTAAAAAACGTATACATCTCGACATCGGTCGCAATGGGCGTTGTGGTATCATTCGCATAAAGCAGGGCAGATATCTGAAAATGTTCGCATGAAGCAGAAAAAATATAATCATTATCTTTTTAATAGTTGGTAGGTATTTAACTACATCTATATTATTAACAACAGTTTTACAACTTACAAAAATGTGTATGATCGACATTAATGGCATGTCGTTTGTAGTAGAGAAAAAAAAATGGTAATTGTGATATCGTTCGCATAAAGCAGGACAGATACAAAGTACATATTTTGAAGTAAACCAAAATCTTATTTCGTTCAATGATGTGAAATTGTTCGCATAAAGCAGGACAATTATCACATTAAATTTAATTCTAGCCTAACCAAAATAATTAAGTAGGCTCTAAAAAATGATTATTATGATATCGTTCGCATAAAGCAGGACAGATACCAAGTACATATTTTGAAGTAAACCAAAATCTTATCTCGTTCAATGATGTGAAATTGTTCGCATAAAGCAGGACAATTATCACATTAAATGTAATTCTAGCCTAACCAAAATAATTAAGTAGGCTCTAAAAAATGATTATTATGATATCGTTCGCATAAAGCAGGACAGATACCAAGTACATATTTTGAAGTAAACCAAAATCTTATTTCGTTCAATGATGTGAAATTGTTCGCATAAAGAAGGACAATTATCACATTAAATGTAATTCTAGCCTAACCAAAATAATTAAGTAGGCTCTAAAAAATGATTATTATGATATCGTTCGCATAAAGCAGGACAGATACCAAGTACATATTTTGAAGTAAACCAAAATCTTATTTCGTTCAATGATGTGAAATTGTTCGCATAAAGCAGGACAATTATCACATTAAATGTAATTCTAGCCTAACCAAAATAATTAAGTAGGCTCTAAAAAATTATTATTATGATATCGTTCGCATAAAGCAGGACAGATACCAAGTATTTTTGACTAAATCAAATTCTTATTTAGTTCAATGATCTGAAATTATTTGCATAATGCAGGATACAAATCACATTCAATTTAATTCTAGCGTAAACGAAATAATTTTGTAGGCATGTGAATTATAAACAATAGTCTACAACTCACAAAAAACGTATATACTCGACATTACTGGCATAAAGCAGGGCAAATATTTTGTTCTACTAAAAAAATGGTCATTGTGATATCGTTCGCATAAAGCAGGACAGATACCAAGTATTTTTGACTAAATCAAAATCTTATTTCGTTCAATGATCTGAAATTATTCGCATGAAGAAAGGATAAAAATCACATTCAATTTAATTCTAGCGTAAACGAAATAATTTTGTAGGTATGTGAATTATAAACAACAGTTTTACAACTCACAAAAAACGTATATACTCGACATTACTGGCATAAAGCAGGGCAAATATTGTTTTCTACTAAAAAAATGGTCATTGTGATATCGTCTGTAAAAAGCAGGACAGATACCTAGTATTTTTGACTAAATCAAAATATTATTTCGTTCAATGATCTGAAATTATTCGCATAAAGCAGCACAAACATCACATTCAATTTTAATTCTCCGAAATAGTTTTTTAGCCGGCAAAAAACATGATTCATGAAAGACTTTTTAGCGATTATATACATTATTTGTACTTACTGTCTAAACTGGAGTCTGTAGTATGGTTTGTTTCCAACATGTCTTGCAGTTTTCGCATTTTTCTTTTTATTTTCCTATATTTTTCATTGTCACATTTTTGTTTCGGCATTTTTTCCAAAAATTGATACGTACACTTCAACACAACAAAGAATAATGAGGTATATCGGGTCGTCGATGATAGGCATGGAATGCGGCAGCGGCGTACCCAAAAATTTTTAGTATCTTTAAAAATGTTGTGAAATAATCGTACACTTCGATCAATCGAGAGTATACTACATATTATGGATATATTGGGGCCCAGCAGTGAAGTACAATTAATTTTAGCGAAAAAATCAAATGTAATTTATGATTTTTAATTTTTTTTAGTGGCAATACCAACGAAGTCAACGTTTATAATTTAGCTACGGATATCGGGTTACACATGGGAGATATAATGAAATTTGGAAAGGAATTATTAGCGAGAAAGCCATTGGTTTCTTATTTGTGGCCACCACCAAAGGAATGTTACTACAGACATTTTTATGTATACTACTTCTTTTATATATTAGGGCATATTTTGCCAGCCATATTCGTTGATACTCTATTAATATTAAGTAGACGAAAGCCAATGTAAGTAAAAATTCCGTTTTCATTGATTTTTATCCATTAATTACCTATAAAACGAAATCATATCCTTAATATAAAATTTTAGAAAATAAAACATTAATAAAGGGCACAATATAGGAAGCGTTTAATGGAGGAAACTAAAGTCATATTCGAGCGGTCTCTTTGGTTTAAAAATATTTTAGATCCAATTTTACTACGTCATAGATTTTGAAAGCGCTCAAATAGATAATTTTAAAACAGTAATGTCCCTAACAATTAAGGTTTTGTGAGTGTGTAAATGTTTAGGAACAGATAATTTTTTGCCTTAAACAGAAACTAATATATTACCAGAGTTTTATAAAAAATGGAGCGTTATATTTAGAATCCGACTTTAACCAGTTATTCAGAATTACAAGGTCCAGTTTTCAAAAATTATTAAAAATTATAAACCATCATAATTATGCATTTTCTAATTTTTCTTATAATAAATAATTTTTTTATCATTAATTTTATTATGTATGCTATGCTTTATAATGTTTGTTACTATTTTTGACATTAATGACATTTCTATTTCCTTGAACCCACATACTTTGATTACTATACGAGGCAAGAGAGAGGTCCGACACGCCCAACATAGGGCGCGGCCATTTTGAACCCTGTGACACAGTTTACAGCTAAAGAATCAGATCGCTCAATCTGCGTCGGCACTTTGGATCTCAATGTTTTAGTTTATACACTGCGCAACTCGGATAATACAATATTTGACAACCGCCTATAATAAAACAGCAGTCTTCTGCGTATCCTGAATTTGTATCCCTGGAGTGGATGTTATTTTGGAACTTTCAACTGGTCCGAGTGAGCTAACTGATTCTTTAGCAATAAACTGTGACTCCAAAAATAATATTCACTGACACTGACAGCAGCAAGTAAAATATCAGGTGCGTTTTAATCATCCGCTTCTGCTTCGGAATTGTCGGTTTTCTTGTTTTAATCTGACAGGTTAAAACGACTAAACCGACAATTCCGGAAGCAAAAGCGGATGATTAAAACGCACCTGATATTTTGCTTGCTGCTGTCAGTGTCAGTGAATATTATTTCTGGAGTCACAGTTTATTGCTAAAGAATCAGTTAGCTCACTCGGACCAGTTGAAAGTTCCAAAATAACATCCACTCCAGGGATACAAATTCAGGATACGCAGAAGATTGCTGTTTTATTATAGGCGGTTGTCATATATTGTATTATCCGAGTTGCGCAGTGTATAAACTGGAACATTGAGATCAAAAGTGCCGACGCAGAGTGAGCGATCTGATTCTTTAGCTATAAACTGTGGCATAGGAATCAAAATGGGCGCCCTATGTTGGGCGTGTCGGACCTCTCTCTGGCACCGTATAGTAATCAAAGTATGTGGTTTTGTCTGACTTGAACATTAATAAACCATCTGGCAAAAACCTTCTCTATACTATAACATAAAACACGAAAAAAATACTTGCAAATAAATAAATGATTATTATTGAATGGATTGATCTAGTATTCGTTCATCGTTGTGAGAACGTCATTCTTGTATCGGTTCTAAATTTATTAGGACTTATCAGAAAGAAATAGACATTCTACTATAATTTTTATAATAAATAAATTAATCTTAACATTTTTAGGCTATGGAAACTGCAACGTAAAATATATATTGCTCAGAGCTTCCTGAGACCATTCATGAAGAATTCATGGACATTTAAAAATGAAAACTATGAGGAATTAAGAAAAAGTATTTTACCGGAAGATAGTAATCAATTTAGCATAATGTATTTTGGTTCAAATAATTCTACTAAAATCATCAGAGAATGCTTGGAATTGTATTGCGAGGGAATAAGGACATATTTAGTAAAAGATCCACCTTTTACAGAAGCAAATGTTAAAAAACAAGATAGGTAAGTATTTGTTAAATATCCAAGACTATAGTTAATTCCGTAAATAATAAGGTATGTTCTTCCAACAACGATCATTGATAACAGAATTCTGCACAGTATATTATTTTAATTATTAATTATTTATATCTTTGCAGGTTGCTCCTTATAGAAAAATTGTTTAAGATGCTTTTATTAGGTTTAGTTATTTATTATGTGTTTTACAAAACTCGTTTAGTATCTTCTTTATCTGGTAAATTTAATACATATTATGAAAGGCTAAATATTATTTAATTTGTAATTTTAGTAAACGGCATATTATTTATTATAATAGTAATGTAGCAAAAATAAATATTTTATATTTTTATGCTTTTTTATTGTTAATGAAACATATAGTTTTGGGACGTAAGAGTAGCAAATACAGCTATATTATTTCCCATTACTGAATACCTATTTTTGAGGAACGACAAAAAATTATGTTCGTTGAAACAATACGTTTAGCACATAAAAATCTTATTTCATATTAATATTCAATATTAATAGGTAATAGAAGGAGTGAAATTTCTTATCTTTTAAGTTGAATAAATTATCCATTTATCGAAACAGAATTTTATAAAAAAACTATCTGGTTGCTGCGGAATTTAGAACAGTGTTATCCTCAAATTTTTAAAAGAGTAAAAGTGAATTATTAACATAAATTAAATTAAATTTTGTGGCATTAATTTAAAATCACGTCGTTTTAAAGTAAATTGATATAAATTTCTTTATTCTAGTATTTTCTAAAGCTAATTGGCACTACCTTTTAGACATTCTGCTTAATAAAAGTGAAATTATCAAAAACAACTAACAAAAAACTATGAATTAAATCAGCAGAAATCTGAAATTGTTCTACATATTGTCAATGCCAATGCATTTTTCTTTCCATTACCATTCTCTTTATAAAAAAAAATTAAACAATACCTACGACAGTATCAAATGTCATTCATATATAAACTATCGAATGCAAAATCATATCATTAGCATCAAAATGTGGAGTAATGTAGAAAGAAAGATAACTATTCCCGAATTTTATCAAAATAAAAATGTGCTTATAACAGGTGGCACGGGATTTGTGGGAAAATTATTAGTGGAAAAATTGCTAAGATCATGTAGTGGGATTAACAAAATTTATGTCTTGATAAGGCCTAAACATGGAAAAAGTCCGCAAGATAGAATGATTGATGCTACTAATGATATAGTAAGTAAGTGTGTCTTTTTTTTTATTATTTGCTGAGCATTAATAAATATGTTTCATTGGGAAAATTATTTAATGGATCGTACAGTTTTTACAGCCAATATACTACGAGCTGTTAAGTCCACAGTAGATTTATCACTGCTTTAATTATTGATTACCACAAATTTTAAACTTCGCGAGTGGCTTTATTTTTACCAGCCTACCACACTTCTTTTTTCTGTGCTGCGTTTTCTACAGCGCGACGTCTGAACATATACATTTTACACTATTATGTAATAAAATAAACCAAAATTTCTGTTTTCTACACCCGTATTATAATAATGCACTTATATGCCCATAATCCGTTTCATAATGATACCCATTATGATACAGATTTTTCATTATGATACAGATTTTTAATCAATAGAAACCTACAATTTTTCAATCAAGCATGATGTTTGACGTTTGTCCTAAATTCCTATGTAATTGTTTTAGTTGTCAAAACGTATTAAATTTTCGTAGATAGCTAAACTTCGATAATTATAATATTAAAATGTCTGATATCAGCGATATAGAAGACTCCTCCACACATATCGGAGAAAGGAGAAAATGCAGTACAAAATATTTTGCCCCAAAAATCTGTGGTAATACCAATACCCAAGGTAATACCATTAATTACAATTTTGTAGAATTTTTTATAGAAATACGAGTAATTACTGTTATTGTGTTCAATACAAATATAAATATAATATTTAAAGTTTTTGATTATTTATCGAGTGTAGAAAAAATAGCTTATGCAACTCTTATGTAATGGTTAATAATATACTCGCATTAAACCATACGAAACTCGCCTTCGGCTCGTTTCGTACCCCGGCCAGGCCGGAACCAGGATAGGGCGATCCGGGCGGCCGCCCGGAGCGTAATGATCTAGGGACGCCAAAATCATAAAAAATGAAAATCAACATAAACAAAATTAAGTTACAGGATTTTATAAAATGCACTAAAAAGTAAAGAATATTTTTTTATCATTCTGATATCATATCAATAAATTATTTTTCATAATATTGCATTGTCATCGGACCCTTGTAAGTATACCAAATTTTATTGAAATCGGTTCACGGGAATTTTCTCAAAAACGCGTTGTAAGATTTGACTGATAGTTGACAAGATTAAGAGGCGGCAGGCGGAATTTATTATTTTTATTTCTAAGCACATAAATCAAATAATGTATATTTAAACATTAAGGCAAAATCTAGTTGAATTCAAATCAACATGACAAAACCACTCAACCACCGCCTTTCAAGAATTGACAAGTTTTTCGGCCAGTGGCAACACGACTGTACAGGAAACAACAATTTTGAAACCAAGCGAAACAAGATCTAACAGCCCTTTTTAACTGCATATAAAAAGGAAGTAGACCTAAAACAAAGCATTATTTGCCACTAGACTTCAACTGGTACGAAATAAAATAGTTTGTTTAAATTGTTAGTGCAAAAAGCTTTAAAAAATTGCTTGTGCAAATTGTCCAGTGCGTTTGGCTTCTCTGAAGGTGTTTTAATTTTTGTTTTAATTTTTAAAAACTAAAAAAATCCAACAGACAAGCAAAAGGATGTGGGTAGATTTCAAAAATTAGAGTTTAGATCAAAACATGGCTTGTGTGGTATCAAATGAAAGGTAATTGAACCTGCAGTTGAATAAAATTTATTTTATTTTTTAAGCCAGTGGCGCACAAGGGGAGGATTTCAAAAATTAGAGTTTACATCAGAAAATGGCTTCTGTGGTATCAAATGAAAGTTGATTGAACCTGCAGTTGAATAAAATTTATTTTATTTTTTAAGCCAGTGGCGCACAAGGGGGATTTCAAAAATTAGAGTTTATATCAAAAAATGGCTTGTGTGATATCAAATGAAAGGTAATTGAGTCTGGAGTTGAATAAAATGCATTTTATTTTTTTTAAGTCAGTCGCGCACGAAGGAAGATTTAAAAAATTAGAGTTTATATCAAAAAATACCTTGTGTGGTATCAAATGAAAGGTAATTGAGTCTGGAGTTGAATGACATACATTTTTTTTAAGTCAGTTTATCTTGTTATCTTCTTGTTATCTGATGATTGAGTTTTTAATAAAACGTTTTTTTTTATTTTTTTTTTATTTTTTTTTATTTTTTTTTATTTTTTTTTCAATGTTTTCTTGACTTTCTGATATGGTCGCATGAGATTTACTTAAAAAAAAACGGGGGGGGGGGCAAAATTAAGGTTTTGCCCGGAGCGTCAAAATGTCTAGGGCCGGCCTTGACCCCGGTTAATGCTCGTGTATTAAACCATCATTACATGATCGTTGCATAATATACTATTAAAGATGGGAGGTCCCTGTTTTCTAGAATTCTCGGGGTAGTATTTGAATTTGAAAATTTCTTTCAAATTTGTATGTAGTTATGGCTCTATCAGTAGGCATAGCTAGAATATTATCCCTTTTAAATTATTTTGAATCTAGAAAAACCATATTGGTAAGCAATATTTACTTTTTAATAAGGATGTCTTTTCTTATTTTTAGCTTTTTGATACAATACGAAAAGAAAATAGTGAAGCTTTAAATAAAATAGTACCTATTAGCGGTGATATCGAGAAAGTCAATTTAGGTAAGTACCTAACGATATGTCAATTTCCGGATTGACAACTTAATTTAGTAAAGGCAATTTCCTGCAGTTCAAAAGAAGATAATTCAGGATGTTGGCATAAACAATAAATCAACAAGTCAAATTGATTCATTTTACCAATGATATAACAAGTTGATAATTTTAAATGTCTATCAATTACAGAGCAATATATTTATTTGCTACAAAATTGATATCCTCTTAAATTATATTGTTTTCTTAAATCCAGATAAAAACTCAATAATTTTGATGTTTTAATAATTTTAAAAATTTGTTCATTGACAAAACTGTGGTCACTAGCTTAGATTAGATTAAATTAGATTAGATTGGGATTTGGACGTTGTTTGTTCTTGTCCACAGCGACCTTTCCAGATCTATTGTGAGACTTCGTTTGTTTTATCTATCTTGGTTTTTTTTATTAGACTTAGTAGCTTTGACAGTGGCTTCCGCATGTAGTTGCATGCATTTGACTTTTCTACGCCCAATGTTAGAAACCAAATTCTAGCTAGGCCTTCACATTGGCACAGGACGTGGAATCATGTTTCCTCTTCTACCTCTTCACAAAACCTGCAAAAAGTTGCTTGATGAACTGCATGTTTGGCATGTCTCAGTCTTGAATAGTTGTTCCGCCATTCCTGAGACTCTTTTTGCATCCATTGTTTAATGGATGCCTTGCACAATTCCTTATCAATTGCACAGAAGTGTTCGGGGCCTGTCATGGCCTTATCTGAGCCTTCTCGGGTTCTTTCGTCGGCTTTTTCGTTGCCATGATATCCCTCATGGCCTGGCACCCAGGCCAGGATCACCCTATTTTGGCTACTTAGCTCTGCCAGGTCTTCTGGACAGTCTTTCACTAGACGTGCTTGGGTATTAGAGTGTATGGCAATAGTTTTGCCTGATACTTGCTGATTTAATATTTTTTTTGCACAGTATTATGTGGCTATTAGTTTAGCCTGGAACACTGTTGCATATTTTCCTAAACTCAGCGAAATCGTTGCTTTCGACTTGGGTCCACAGATTCCAGCACCCCGGCTCCTTCTTTGGTTTTTGAACCGTCTGTGTACCAGATGATTTCAGCTTGGATGGAAGGTCTCTGTTTTCCAGAATTCTCGGGGTAGTATTTGAATTAGAAAATTTCATTTGTATGTGGTTATGGCTCTATCAGTAGGCATAGCTAGAATATTATCTCTGTTTACTTGCTGATATAGCCTTGTGTAGTCGGCGCTATGCAGTTGGCTTATTGGGTTTTGTCTCTGCATTAGCCTGTGAATAGCTGACCTAGTTTTTCCTTGTAAGAAGATGTAAGATTTAATAATACCTCCATTGCTACAGTTGGTGTAGTGCCCATGGCCCCAGTAGCACTTAGAGAGGCAAGCAGCTGAATGCCAGTGAGTCAACCTATTGCACTTGCCTGTGCAGTGCTGGTTACTCACGTCATGGGTCTTATTACCCTTATGTATAACCATATAGTCATTTTGGGGTTTATACCCTAGTTTTCCCACAAATTCCTTTGGTCAAATATGACTCCGAGGGATTTGCCTTCTGTGACGAATGGGATAACTATGTTATTTAGTACTAGTGGTCTTAGTCCTATAAGTACCCGTTTTTTTGTGAATGGTACAACTGTTATTTTTTGTGCATTTATAGACAATTGTTTCTTTTTGCACCAGTTGTTCACTATGTTTAGAGCTGTTTGAGATCGCTCCGAGACTGTGCCTGTATATCTCCCCCTGACGATAATTGCTAGGTCGTCTGCGTATCCTAGGCACTGGTAGCCGTCCTTGGACAATGTTTTGAGTAAGTCGTCCACAAGAACTGACCACAGCATTGGAGATAATATTCCTTCTTGTGGGCAGCCCCATGTTACTTTTGCCTGTATGGTTGCCTTTCCAAGAGTGGATAAAATAATCCTGTTCTCTAGACAGGCAGTGATCTATTGGCATATTAAAACTGGGACGTTTATCTCTTTTAGAGCCTTGGTTTCTGACTCAATAATTTTGAAGCTCTAATAATTTAAAAATTTGTACATTGACACTAGCTTTGTGTTAAGTGTTGAACGTATTAAAAAGAATGTTCTTCAGATTAAGGGTAAAATGATGCAACATTCAGATACACACAAGCAAACGTTATCAACTTTTAATGATAAAATAACCTCAAAAATACATACAATATTTATTTATTTATTTATTCCAGAAACAAACAGGCATGAGCCTAACTACATGTTCCTATAAATACAGCGAAAATAGAAATCAACAAAAATACATAATATCTAATTAAATATATAAGTGAAATTATAATAAACAAACCTCGCTACTACAAAATTTTAACAAAGTTTGTTAAAGAACAAAACTACTGAAATAATCAGAAATATTCAGGAATAATCAGAGCGTCTGCAAAACCCCACACCAAGGCCACGGAAATCCTACAAGGTTATGTCTCTTTAATCGAGCCCAACAATTTTGTTTAGTTCCTTTCTATATGTGCTTATAGCTACATCAAAAATACCGCAAGAAATGCCTTCGGAGTGTACATTAAACAAAAGACAAATTTTTTCTACTGGACCATGATTATCCGCACGAAAAGTTAATTGACGTGGACGAATACCTGCTATTGGAACATTAATTTTTATTTGACTCAATAAATATTGACTGTCCAAATATCCATTTAATAATTTATGTAAAAAGACAAGGTTGATTATAGAGCGTCTATGTTCCAATTTTTCAATTTCAAACTCTTTTCTAATAGGTCCAAATGAAACAAATCCTGGACTTGTATGATACTTTTTAAAGTATAAATATTTGACAAATTAATTTTGAATAGTTTCCAAAATGTGTTTTAAATTTTGTTGTGTAGGGTCCCATACAGTGGATACATATTCTAATTTACTACGAACGAGAGCAAAAAATACATTTTTAATCGAGTGTGTGTCTGTAAAGTCCCTAGTCGTGCGTTTCAAAAAACCTAACAATTTGTTAGCTTCTTTGGTAATGTTATGGATATGCTCGTCAAATTTGAAATTATTTTGAAAAACTATTCCCAAGTCGGTCATTTTTGACACTCTTTCTAGTGTTGATCCTTGCATTGTGTAGATAAAATTTTGAGGATTACGAATGTTTCTGAATGTAATAACCTTGCATTTGGAAAGATTAAAATGTAATTTATTTTCAAATGACCAATCCGAAATTGAGTCTAAGTCATTTTGAAGGTCTAGATAGTCATTTAGGGTGGATATTTTCTTAAAAACTTTCAGATCATCTGCATACATTAGGCAGTCTGATGTAATTATTACCCCTGGCCAGGTACTTACGTGACAAATCAACAAAGAACATTAAAACAAACTCAACAATATTCTTAAAACTAATATTAATTGTTAATTTAAACTAAACAAGGTTTTAGTTTTACACGAAACAAAAGCGACATAAACAAAAGAAACACCCCCAAGTCGGTCACCGTCACCCCATGGTGTAAGAATACCCACCATGCGTCACCCCAAAAAGTCTCCGATCTCGCACACGCGCACATCCACTTCCTTCCAATTCCAAGGTGTAGGCAAACAGCACCTGAGCGCGGTGTAGAGTGGTTTGCACAGTGTAGACTTTAATATTATCTTCCAGTATTACTTTAGAAACAACACTATGAAATATGCTTTTACTTATAAAATTATTAGTAGAAGCAAAGTAATGTTTTTATACTATTCATATAATTATTTTTAGGACTTAGTGAAAAAGACAAATCAACAATAATTGAAAACGTAACAATAATATTTCACTCTGCAGCGTCTGTTCGTTTTGATGATTCCATCAAAAAGGCGACTTTTATAAACCTCAGAAGTGCCAGAGAAATAACGTTATTAGCAAGACAACTCAAAAAAATAGACGTATTTGTAAATGTTTCGACTGCTTTTTCTAATTGCGACAGAATAATTGTCGAAGAAAAATTATATCCAGCTAAAATGAACTGGAGGGATCTAATACGACTAGCTGAAGAATGTGACGAAGCAACTCTACAACATTTAATGCATAAGTTAATTTATCCGATGCCAAATACTTATGTTTTTACAAAATCTCTAGCGGAGCACGCAGTGGTGGATCTAGCTAAAGATAAAATACCAGCTGTAATAATTCGACCCACTATAGGTAGGTAACAAGATAATTTTGCTTCTTATTATTGAAATTGAATTATTCCTATATTTGATTGTTTATTTGTCTAATGAACAAAACAACGTCTGTGTAAATTTAAAGAATACCAAAAAAAAAAACAAATAAAAAATAACCGATTTAGAAAATATGAGTACTATGTATAACACAAACGTTTTAATGTAGCTGATTTTATAAAGTTTTAATTCTTTCAAAACCTTGTTTGGTTGTGTTTTAGTTTGCTCAACTATTTCTGATCCGGTTCCTGGATGGTTAGACAACATAAATGGTACCTCTGGTGTCCTTTATGGCGTAGCAAAAGGTAAGAATAGATTATTTTTTTATATTATTCTTCATTTCACGTAATACAAGTTAATATAGTGGGCGGTCCACTGAAACATAATGCCACATTTTTGAAACCCGGTTGAAAAAATAGTTTTGGAAATACTTCTAGTCTTCTGTTATACCCATTGCAATAAAATTTTCATTGCACGTCATTATTGTTTATCAAATTGCCGTTAGTCTTAATTGTTGCTTTTCAAGATTGAAGTGGACAATTGATCTACGTAGCGGACAGTGGTCAAATTAATATTTCTTTTTATGACATGTACAAACTAACTGTCAAGCTGCCCACAGTATTATTTTTGTGTTTAACAAGTATTAGAAATTAAAAATTTAAAAAAACCGACTTCAAAAACGTGCAGATGCCATCACCACATCTTAACCAAATTTATATGGGACCACCACTGAGGTACCCCCTTTCTAACAAAAAAGAATCATATAAATCGGACAAGGTGGTAAAGCATTATCGCTAAACATACATAAAAAATGAAGAGTTTGAAGATTTTCTCATGGATCCAATTATTAGATTTTGACTAAATTTATATGGGACCACCCCTGAAGTACCCCCTTCCTAACAAAAAAAGAATCATTAAAATCGGATACTGTGTTAAAGAATAATCGCTGAACATACATAAAAAAAAATATCGCGACGAATTGGTAACCTTCTCCTTTTTTGAAGTCGGTTAATAAACAAATTTATTATTTTATTTTTGAAATACCCAAAGACATTACAAAATGTCTTTGGAAATAATTAGTGGGGCCTCTAATAAAATATTTTGAAGAAGAACGAGATAATGGTGGCCCTTTATTACAAAAAAAAATGCAGTCAGAAAGCGTGTGGAAGCGGCGTTGATTTAAAATATTTCGACGGTAAGCTCAAGTTCACATGCATTAAAGAATAACCATATATTTTAAATTCTTCAAAAAGGCGAACACATCCCAAACCTAAAACCGAAATTTTCAATTCGAATTACATTCGTGATGTCATGGTATGTATAAAAAGAAACAATAAGTATCTCGAAATTACATGAAACTTTAACCCAAGAAGAAATGTTTACAAGATCATTGTATACAGTGTTAGCCAATACAGGATTTAAATGGAACATGATCCCGGCGAGGTCTTCTGGAACTTCCTCATGTTGTCAGTAAAATATTTACTTTTTTGAAATTACACACAATGGATAAAACATAAATTATTGATTTTAATGATGATAGCGATAGTGATTCTTATTCTTGTTTAGTCTTGTTTATTCTTGTTTATTCTTGTTTATTCTTGTTTATTCTTGTTTATTCTTGTTTATTCTTGTTTATTCTTGTTTATTCTTGTTTATTCTTGTTCATTCTTGTTCATTCTTGTTCATTCTTGTTTATTCTTGTTTATTCTTGTTTATTCTTGTTTATTCTAGTTTATTCTTGTTTATTCTAGTTTATTCTTGTTTATTCTTGTTTATTCTTGTTTATTCTTGTTCATTCTTGTTTATTCTTGTTTATTCTTGTTTATTCTTGTTTATTCTTGTTTATTCTTGTTTATTCTTGTTTATTCTTGTTTATTCTTGTTTATTCTTGTTTTTTCTTGTTTATTCTTGTTTATTCTTGTTTATTCTTGTTTATTCTTGTTTATTCTTGTTTATTCTTGTTTATTCTTGTTTATTCTTGTTTATTCTTGTTTATTCTTGTTTATTATTGTTTATTCTTGTTTATTCTTGTTTATTCTTGTTTATTATTCTTGTTTATTATTCTTGTTTATTATTCTTGTTTATTATTCTTGTTTATTATTCTTGTTTATTATTCTTGTTTATTATTCTTGTTTATTATTCTTGTTTATTATTCTTGTTTATTATTCTTGTTTATTATTCTTGTTTATTATTCTTGTTTATTATTCTTGTTTATTATTCTTGTTTATTCTTGTTTATTCTTGTTTATTATTCTTGTTTATTATTCTTGTTTATTATTCTTGTTTATTATTCTTGTTTATTATTCTTGTTTATTATTCTTGTTTATTATTCTTGTTTATTATTCTTGTTTATTATTCTTGTTTATTATTCTTGTTTATTATTCTTGTTTATTATTCTTGTTTATTATTCTTGTTTATTATTCTTGTTTATTATTCTTGTTTATTATTCTTGTTTATTATTCTTGTTTATTATTCTTGTTTATTATTCTTGTTTATTATTCTTGTTTATTCTTGTTTATTCTTGTTTATTCTTGTTTATTCTTGTTTATTCTTCTTTATTCTTGTTTATTCTTGTTTATTCTTGTTTATTCTTGTTTATTCTTGTTTATTCTTGTTTATTCTTGTTTATTCTTGTTTATTCTTGTTTATTCTTGTTTATTCTTGTTTATTCTTGTTTATTCTTGTTTATTCTTGTTTATTCTTGTTTATTCTTGTTTATTCTTGTTTATTCTTGTTTATTCTTGTTTATTCTTGTTTATTCTTGTTTATTCTTGTTTATTCTTGTTTATTCTTGTTTATTCTTGTTTATTCTTGTTTATTCTTGTTTATTCTTGTTTTGTTCTTGTTTTTTCTTGTTTTTTCTTGTTTATTTTTGTTTATTTTGTTTATTTTTGTTTATTTTTGTTTATTTTTGTTTATTTTTGTTGTTTTATTTTATTTATTTATATTCGAAGAATTATTTCTGAAAGCTCCTAAAATTGTATACAAGGTAATCAACTTATAATCCGGAGTTTGATCTCTATTGTTTTGAGGGATACGAACAAAAGTTTTGAATACAAATTATCGAGTCCAGCTCCACATTTTAAAATTATTTCGTAACATACAGGGTGTTTCTTAAAGTCACAGCATACCAAAGTTTTGTTTTTTTAGTGGAACAACACCCTATATGTTATCTCGAATTTGAATTTTTCTCATTTTCCATATTTCGGCAATATAGGGTTTTCGGTTTTATCAGGTTCTACAGAGTACTTTTAAAGAAATGGCCACGTTTATGTGAAAATCTTAATGAAATCGTCACCCTGCATTATTTCGAATGCGGACTCTATCTATAATTTGTATTTAAAAGTTTTGTTCGTATCCTTCAAAACAACGGAGATATCAAACTCAGTAGTATAAGTTGATCACCCCGTATATAGGTTCGATGAATTAATTATTTAAAGTGTCAAGTTTTTTATACACTTCTTCAAATCGTTACACTCCGCATTGTACACAATCCTAGACGTCTCAGTAATCTGTACTTTCTTAGTCGATAAGGAAGTTCTTCTACAAATATATACGTCACATGCGACATCCACACCTTATTGGTCAACGTCAAACGTAAGCCTTAAGCTTATTGGCCCACTTCGTTTGCGCCACTACTACTAAAACATTCATTGAGACCACACGCGTTTGCCGCGATAAGAAGGGATGCTGTGCCCGCCATTATGAAACATACATTATTTCTCTAGTAACATGGCTTAAAGTAACAATTTTCTTAGAAAAATGCTGTAAATAATGAAAAAAGTGTTCATAGGTAAAGAATCAAATCAATCCATTTGTGTTTTAAAATAAAATTATTCAATCAGAGATAATCTTTCAATTCAAGTATCTTCATCTCCCCGACCTATGGATCACAAAAGTATTTCAAACTTTCTTATTTCTACAGTTCATGAATAGTCAAATATCTTGAGATCTTAGACTTTTATAGCAACGTGGTAACGTTTACTTTTACGAGTTTATGACTGCATTGGAAATTTCATTGCATTTACTTTATAAAAAAGTCGTGATAACTTTACTATGTCCGCAAAACGTATAATATTTGTAAAACATTCTTAAAAAATAAAATAAAATTAAAATGGACTTCAGTCTATTATTCTTCATAGGTGTAATCAGACCAATGTGGACAGAAACAAATGGAGAACTTAATCACGTTTTCGCAGATAGTGTAACAAAAGCCTTAATAATAGCATCTTGGAAGACAGCATTATCGTAAGTAAACCTAGTAAATAATGTACCTCTCTTAAGCTGGCAGGACCAACTGGGCAGAATTGATTAAGATCTATTACATTATTTAGTACCTATTTTGTACTAATTAGTGCCACCAATAAAAATTTTGTAAGGTACCTGAGGCAAATAAGGCCCACCTAAGAGGGAAAGCCCACTAACGCGACATGTCGCGCGCGACTGATCGCGCGCGACTGATCGCGCGCGGCAATACTTTTGATGTTCTTAAATGACCACGCGACAGAACCGCGTTAATGGGCTTTGAGTCATTTAAAAACATCAAAAGTATTGCGCGCGCGACTGATCGACATGTCGCGTGAGTGGGCTTTCGTTACCGCTTGCGCTTTATAATTAAGGGATTTTTTCATTTCAGCTGTGTTGTTTTATTCTTTGTTGCAAAAAGCTCAGGAGTAGGAAGCAATTCTTAAAAGACCTATTAAGAACTTCATTACTAGTGTCCATCATGATGTTGTCTGTCAATGTTTTATCTGTAGCTGAGGGCCCCTCCCGCGATTTTCGTGATTCGTTATTTTTTACTGGTGTTTTTTCTCCATATTTTCTGCTTCCTGCTATTGCTCAATCTTTCACGATATTTGCTAGCTTATTTAGCGGTATGTCTTCTAACTCATCATCGGACTCAAATCTATAATCCGTCGTATTTGTAGCGTTATCAACTTCTAAAATATTCGGAATTACACTGCTGTTTGTGTTGTCTTCTAAATGGCGCTGGCTTATAAGTGATGGGGCAAATGCTGACTCTGGAATCCTTTGTGGATTAAGTAGGAACATTCCAGTGGCTTTAAATCCGCTAATAATATTCTCAGGCGTCATACATTTGGGCCAGACTTTGGTTAAAATTTTACCGAATCGACTCTTATTAAGACGTCGATCCGGAAGCGCATTCCAGAATTTAAGCAGTTCTTGATCCCAGTGATCAAAGGATCTATAAACTGCCTTATCCAGTGGTTAGAGTTCATGCGTCGTATTTGAAGGTAGAGAAAACAGTCTAATTTCAAGACGGTCTGCAGCGTCTACAATAGAAATATCCAGATGACTAGAGGCTCCATCGAAAACTAGTATCGCCGGTCCATTACCTTTGTAACGAGCTAGATGTTCAATAAATTTAATGAAAAGTGATGTTGTCATGCTACCCTTATCTGACATTTTTACCAGAGTACCAGCCGGTAAAGCATCTTGCCATTCTGATTTCAACCTTTTCCCTTTAAAAATAACCATAGGGGGTATGGTGTTTCCTAGTGAATTACAACACCCCGCAATAGTCATATTTTCAGCGTGCTCATGTGCTACCATGTGAATTCGTTTTGCACCCCTTTGTCCAATTACTTGTTGCTGGTGGTGAACAGTCAAACGGCAACCCTTTTCATCCATGTTAAACAAGTTTTGAGGGTTTTGATGAATATCCAATTCCTGGTAAATTTCAGAAAGCTTGGTGAAATAATCGTTTACAATATATTTGTTCAACTTTTGCGCTCTTCCTGGGTTCATTAATTGAGCTTTCCGTTTAGAAAGTTGCGGGTTTCGTTTCAAGAATGCGTAAAGCCAATCTTTACCGGCGACTTCCTTGCTCACACGAAAGGGATGTTTAATGTTGTTTTCGACACATTTAAAAACTGATCGCCTTACCAAGATTGGAGTTAATGTGTACACCTGCCGTTCCTATAGAAACTATCCTAAACTCACGTCAGGCTCAAGAGTAAAGTATCCTTTTGCACGAGCAGAATCAATAGTTACTCCTGCAATAAAACTAACATAATTTGTACCGTTAAAACATAAATTTTCAGAGTTTGTACGCAATTTCCGTTAAAACAGATTTTTTTGTACTTTTTAGAGGCAACACCAATGATGTCTGCATTTATAATTTAGCATCAGATCTCAACATACGAATAGAAGATATGACAAAATTGGGAAATAGTTATATAAAAACAAATCCATCGGAATTTTATTTGTGGCCTCCAAAAGCGCAGTCTCATAATAGTTATTATGTATACTATTTTTTTGTTTTATTGAAGAATCTTTTGCCTGCCATAATAATTGATACTTTATTGATATTAAGTAGACGACAGCCAATGTAAGTAAATAATGTGGTCGAGAAGATTTAGGACAAGCAATAATTTTTAAACACGACCCTTGGTTATGACCGAAACCGCTGCACTTGTAACATAATGTGATATCTATAGCATCAAACACTGAACATACATCGTATCAAACAAAAAGACTTTAAAGAGACATTGCTTTCACATAAGTTTCGGCATCAATTTCTAGAGTTGCTTGATTCATCTTATTATTTTTCTTGGTAGCCCAAATTTTCAAAACGCTGGACGATTGGATGACATCATTTTGGTACTTAAGTAACGAAATAAGTTCGTCAGGTTCATGCTTCTCAATCATTCCAACTATTTTAATTTTCGGATTTCTACTTTTAATTTCTTTAACTTCGTAAGCATCTGATAATTTTGCGTTAGCTACATCTTTAAATTTAGATGCGTCTTCATTCTTACTACAACCAACAAGTATTCCGCCATCTCTAGTATTCTTAACTTTTGAAACTTTAATATTTAATTCAGTGGGATTAATATTGCTCATAATATCAGCCTTAGTTTGAATATTATTTTGTGTAGTATCCTTAGGTTTAATAACTACAACCGATTGACATGTCGCTTGAGCTACTTGCGAATAAGTTGACTTATTTAAATCAGAAGGAGGTATATTGCTAATATTTATGCCCTTTTGTAAAAACAGTGACGATATGAATTTTCTTATACCTGACTATAGCACCAGAAAGACATTTTTTTAGATCATAACGATCTAGATAACTCAAAGGCTCCTTTTATGCACATGTCGTTGTGTGGTTTGCCGTCGGACGGCACAACGATCGACGTTTCCTTGTGGTGCCGCTGTACTTTTTTATGCAAGTACAACATCTCAAGCGGCTAGTAGATGTATTAAGTGCATTGTTGTCAGAGCAGTAAAAAAAGATGGATCCATGTATGTATATTATATTATTTTTTAATGAACTCCTGGACAAAATTAACGTACCACTTTAATTAATCCAAATATTTACAATATAAACACAACATAAAACTAAGTTACATTGAAATAATGATGAACACCTAAAAATTAGTCGAATATGACCTTTACATGACCTTAATTTGCCTTTATTTTTTCCACAAAAATTTGTTTTTGCTGGAAATTCATAAATAAGCTAGCATAACTCCAAATTGAAAAAAGAAAAAAATCAGTAAAAGAGATTAAATGCATCTGGGTCAACTCTAATACCGCGTAGGCCCTCCTTTACTTCTTATCACTGCATTCATGCGTCGCGGCATGCTTGATATCAAATGTTCAACAACATATTTTCCCATTCTTCAATAGCGACCTCTATGAGTTGGTTGTGATTAGAAACAGGGGGTCTATGACTTCGAATCCCCTTTTTGAGATAATTCCATAGATGTTCTATAGGATTCATATCCGGACTGTTAGGTGGCCACTCTAATAAAGGAATATTAACATCATGTAAGTAACCAATAACCTGTCTAGCCACGTGGGGACGAGCGTTGTCCTGCATGAATAAAAAATTGGGCCCAACAAACGGAGCAAAAGGAATTACATGTTCGACAATAATGTTGTCTAAGTAATATTGGGCATTTATAGACATCGTACGTATAGGGACCAACTCCGTACGAGCATCGAAGCAAATTCCTCCCCAAATCATTTTAGAACCACCACCAAAAGGAACTTTAGGAGAGCTATTACAGCTGGCAAACTTTTCTCCTTGTCTTCGCCAGACACGCTCACGTCCATGTGGAGCTTTAAGGCTAACTCTAGTTTCTTCGTAGAACAGAACCCGTTTCTAATCATTGATGGTTCAATTCTGATGTAGTCTTGCAAAATTTAATCTTTGAACTTTGTGTTCTCTGGTAAGCAAGGGTTTTTTGGATGGTCTTCTGTTGTTTAATCCTGCTTCATATAAATGTCTTCTAACCGTTCGAGTTTATTAATTTTTAAGCAAATTGCTGGTTACTCTCCTGTTTCTAAGAGCACGTTGTCTCAAAAAACGATCATCAATTTGATTAGTGCAACGTTTTCGCCCTTGTCCTGGTCTTCGATGGTACGAACCCGTTTCATTATGTCGCCTCACTATGCGACTGATGCTGGAATGATGTCTTCCTAACAAACCAGCAACATATCGCATTAAATATCCTTTATTCAGGAGAGTCGATTCTCGCATTGACTCCTCCAGTGACAGATTTCTTTGACGATTCATTTTTTTTACTTGATATTCTTCCAAATGAACTTCCAAACATGCATGTAATAAAAATAATTACAGCCAACAGCTTGCTTCTAACAGAAACTTTGCTTTAATCAGCACTTTTTAAGAAAATGTTAACACAGTTTTATTCTAAAATGAGGATTAATATGAATTACTGTCAAAACAAGGTCTTAGCTTAAAAAACAACTGTCACTGCAAACAAGGTCCATGGCCTACTGGTCGTACAGTAAGTTATCAAAAAATAAAGATTATTGATCAAAATAGTGCGTTAAGTGGTGCGTTAATTTTTTGGCGCATTCCGAAACTTGTTCGTAAAATTAAGAGAGGACCCGCAGAAATTCTTTAATTATGTTAGAATATCTACGATATCTTTCGACGAGCTCGCTGCAAAAGTCCTGGATAAAATGCAAGACATATTTCAATCCACAGATTCTTTTTTATATTTCTTTATACTCAGTGACGATACATCCCAAATAGCTTTTCGTTGTCTTATTTCATCAATAAACTTTTCCGTATTTACATTGAACTCATTGTGAAAACTACGAAGAGTGGCAACAGGCCTTCACTACGAGAACAAAACGCTGAACATCTGCATAAAAATCCCCATATGTGTACGTATATTTAAAATATTGTAACCGCAATTATTGTCGTCGAGCGTTTGCTGTCCAAATCTATTTTCTCGACGGCATGATTAGACACACAACGACACGTTCACAAAAGGCGACGGCAAATTTCTTGACGACAACCAGTGTTGCCAGTCTAGTACAATTGTACTAAATCTAGTACATTCTCTGAGAATCTGGTACTCTACTACACTCGAAGCAAAATCTAGTACTTTTTTCAGTGTATGTTCCATTTGAAGTGTAAAATATATTGTTCAAAAATTGCCAGAGAAATTAAAATAGTTGTTATAAATTGCTTTGCTTTAGAAATAAAATAGTAGACATTTCTCGAGAGATAAAACATTGTTCAAAAATTGCACGAGAGAACAAATATTGTTCAAAAAAAGTTTGAGAGGTAAAAAGGGTGTTAAAAATTGGCCGATGGATAAAATAGTATTAGAAATTGCTTAAGGGATAAATTACTGTTAAAAAATTTGTTGAGAAATAAAATATTGTTCAAAATTGACTCGAGAGATACTGTTAGAAATTTCTCGAGAGATAAAACAATGTTAAAAAATCTTCGAACGATAAATTACTATTAGAAATTGCTCGAGAGATATAATACTAATTGAAATTGCTCAAGAGATAAAATATTGTACAAACATTGCTCGAGAGATAAAAAAAAGTTGTTATAAATTGCTCGAGACGTAAAACATTGTTAAAAATTTATCGAGAGTTAAAATATTGTTATAAATTTGTCAAGAGTTAAAATATTGTGCAGTTTGCTAAAGAGATAAAAAAGTTGCTCGAGAGATAGAATAATGTTAGAAATTTATTGAAAGATAAAATATTGTTTAAAAATAGCTCAATAGATAAAAAGAGGTTTAAAAATTGTTCGAGAGATAAAATAGTATTATAAATTGCTAAAATATTGTTCATAAATTACTCTAAAATTAAAAAATACTGTTAAACATTTCTCTAGAGACAAAACATTGTTTAAAAATTGCTGGAAAGATAAAAAATGATAATAAAAATTGCGCGAGAGATCAAATAGTGTTAGAAATTGTAAAAATTTTGTTCAAAAATTGCACGAGAGATCAAATATTGTTCAAAAATAGCTTGAGAGGTAAAAACGGCTATTAAATAGTGTTAAAAATTGTACAAAAAAAATTGTACAACCATTGCTCGAGGGATAAAAAAAAGTTATTAAAAATTAAAAATTGCTGTTAGAAATTCATCATGAGAGATAAAAAAAGGTTTAAAAGCTGTTCGAAAGAAAAATCTGGTCATTGTATAGAATCTAGTACATTTTTATGCAATCTGGTACATTTTTTAGACAAATCTGGTACATTACAAAAATATATTCTGACAACACTGACGATAACTGTATAAAAGGAACCATTGCTCCGTATGTTAATAGTTTTCGAGCGTTTTGTGCCGTCCGACAGCAAACCACACAACGACATGTGCATAAAAGAAGCCAAAATAGTCAAAATCCAAAATGTTTTTTGGGACGTTTTTTAGTAAATAAAACAAAAACATTGATAATGTGATATTCTTGTTTAATTTGTTTCTACATAACATAGTTCATTAGTGATTTAGATTTATAGAATAAAAAATCACTCATAATATCCAAATATTTATACCTATATATTTATATTCTACTCGCTCTGTTCGAGGAGGTACATTTCAAATGTAGCATTTATATATTGAATATTTTTACCTTTTAGGCTATGGAAATTAAATAGGAAAATATTTATTTCTATGAGTTTCTTGGTCCCATTTATGAGTAATATATGGTCATTTAAAATCGAAAACTACATGGAATTAAGAAAAAGTATTTTACAGGAAGACAGTAAACAATTTACTATAGAACATCTGGGTGAGAAAATTTCTAGCAAAAAGCTTTATGAGAATTTGTTAATATATTATAATGGAATAAGAAAATACTTTGCAAAAGAAGCACCTCCAACAGAAGCAATGATTAAAAAACAAGCTAGGTATGTATTCAAATGTATCAAAGATTTTCATTGTTAAACCTCACCCTACTATTCGTCTTTTGCAAATGGACAAAATATATATTATTAACTATTATTTTTGCAGGTTGGTTCTTGTAGAAAAATTATGGAAGACGTTTTTATTAGGTTTAGTTTTATATTATGTGTTTTGTAAAAATCGTTTAATATCTGTTTTATCTAGTAAAATTTATACATATTTTGAAAATCTAGATGCATGATTTGTAATTTTAGCACACCACATATTATTAATAAAATGTAGCAAAAACGCAATCTTGGATTTTTTATATTTGTTCATTTTCTGAAGATATGTGATCTAAGAAACTAAGTGTATGTTGGAAATAAGAGTTATGGGTTAACAAATATAGGGTCCACAATAAGACCCATTACTGTGCACCCATGGTGTTTTGAAAATTTCGATGACATTGTGTTTGGATGAAAAGATACTGTGGCTTCTATCAGTCAAAACGGTTAAAAAACCAACAAAATCCACAGATATGAGCTTGAAAAATAAACACTCAACAAGTGATGATAACATCAGTAATGTGATGTTAAAATACTGTAACTTGACAAACCAAAGATTTAGTAAAAAAATTATAATAGTTTATAAAAAACTTGACTGAAAATTAAATAAACAATTGCAAATGTTATATAATTAATAGCTTAACAGAATTGCCTTGAAGTTCAATAACCGAATTTGCATTATTTACTGAGCTACAAGCTGCAAAAGTACGAAAAACTTAAAAAAAAAATCAATTTTTATAAACAAATATAAAAAACAACAAATCAGATTTGCACTACAAGCAAAAATGGTAACATCATTGGCGTTTGTCCCAGAAGAGGATGTGATTGAGGCCATTGCCGAATTGGAAAATGAGTTGCCAGAAATATTAGAACCAATTTTAGAATGGTTTACCAGCAACTATATCGGTCGACTTAGGAATAATGGAACCAGAGTGACAGCAACTTTTCCATCAGCAGTTTGGTCCGTTTATTTTCGAACATAATTTTGCAGAAGCATGTCATCGCAAGTTGCAACTGGCTTTTGGTTCTGGCATTGCTCATCCTTCGTTATGGACATTCATAGATAATTTAAAAAAGGTACAGTCTTCGTACGATGCAGACTATGAACGAGCAATTGCCGGGCGCAATGACGGGAATATACCTCTTGGTCGCCGCGGTCAGTTTTACCCAAATTTAATCCTTTCGCTATTCGAAAGGTATAGGCCACTTGGTCTCCAAACCTGGATTAAGGGTTCCAAGAAAATTATGGGGTTATTTAATTACTCTAATTATAATATCGGTTTGTGACCTGTCGAGAACTAAAATAAAAACATCAGTTAATTGTCTGCATTCTTACTGAAAAGATTAATTTTTTTATTTTAAAAGTGATTCTCATCTTATTCATTATTCCATAAAAGAAGTTTTGAGTTTGTGTTGCAATGGAGTCGATGTTAAGTGTAAAAGGAAAAAAGTTGTTAATTGTAAAAAAATATACATTTGGAAAAGACAAGGAAACAAAGTTAGGTGTATCATATAAGTGTACTCGTCGTGGGTGTAAAGCGACTATTGGAGTGGACGATTCGGAAACTGTCTTATTGAAATCTAAGAGTGAACACAATCATCCACCATCGGACCATTTAGATGTAAAAAAACTTCAAAACGGATTGAAAAGAAAGGCAACAGAAGATATTTGCGTTAAACCCAGTAAGTTAATTAATAACGGAATCCGAGGGGAAGGAAATACGTTTAATGTATCCACTACGGATGTTGACCTCATCAGATGAAGCATATACAGGGCAAGAAGAAGTATATTGCCACCTTTGCCAAAGTGTATCAGTGATGTTCATAGTGTACTGAAAGCAATACAATGTGTTACAAATAAGGGTGAACAATTTTTATTATTTAACAATGAAGATTCACAAAAATATTTTATTTTCATGTGATTCAAATTTAAAATACTTGTGTTCTCGTGATAGTATTTATTGCGACGGCACATTTAATTATTGCCCTAAATTTTTTTTACAATTTTTCACTATACATGCTGATGATAACAGACACTACATACCATTGGCATTTTTTGTTTTACCAGATAAAAGAGCAAGTACCTATGCAACTGCATTTAAATTATTAAAAGATTACTGTTATAATAATTTAAATTTAGATTGGAAGCTGTGTAAAGTTATTTGCGATTTTGAGAAAGCCATACACACTGGTATTATACAGATTTGGCCTGATATCTTAATTATTGGATGTAGATTTCATTTAACCCAATCGTGGTTACGTAAGATACAAAATCTGGGTTTGATTTCCGAATATAAAAATGAAAATTCTGAAATCGGCAAATGGCTTCATTACACTTTCGGCATTTTATTGTACTGAAGTACTGAAGTGGCAGAGTGTTTTTGTAAAGATTTAATTCCAATAATGCCATTTGACGAGAGATTAACTTCATATACTCTTTATATGATTAATACGTATACTAGCGATACGTCTGACTTCCCGCCTACAATGTGGGCATCGTGCACAAGTTCCACAGAACGCACAACAAATGCTTGTGAGTCTTTCCACAAACATTTTAATTCTGCTTTTTATTCGGCGCATCCCGATATATTCAAATTTGTTAATGTAATTCTCGATATTCAGTTAAATACTTATGTGAAATTAAACAGTACACATATACCTAACAAAATTAAAAACGCTAATTACAAAAAACGGCAGGCGTATTTAACGAACGTAATAGAACAATATAAAAATAAGATCCTTTCACGAACTCAATTTATCAAAGTAGTTTCTTATCATTACAAAAACTAATTGCAATTTGGGTTTCTTAAATAATTTTTATTTGGTATTTTGTGTATTTTGTACCTACTTTTTTTTATTATGTATAATTTTATATTGTTTTCTATTAATTATAAGTGTTTTTTTAATTTGGTTTTATTCTTTTCCTGACCCACATTCTGTACCATATCATATCAGTTAAAAATTTCTATTCACGTGGAAAATAATAAAAATCAGTTAAAACTATTTTTTTCTTAAAAATATTATTTTCAATAAATCGAAATAGATACCTTTAATGATTGATAACTACGGCGACCAAGAGGCCTACCTGATTTTAAAACTGGAGACTAAGTGGTCGATGAGATTACGGAACCCCACTGACAAAACTAACCGCGGCGACCAAGTGGCCAACACCCGCAATTGCGCATCAAAAAGGAAACGTTATGAGGAAGCCGACGAGAGGATTTTAAATAAAGTGGCCAATTATAACAGGCAAAATTTGATCGAGTATCTCAGAGGGATATCACATAATTACAACATGAATTAGTTTTTTTATATTATATTGTATTATAATAAATATATGTATTATAAATAATTGTAATGTGTATTATAATAAATAACAATATTCTATAATCAAACTTTTTTTATTTCAGTTTTTATTTTTTAATTCCGTTTCAGCATATAATATGTTACTTAAATTTTTTTATTTCATAACCTAATATTTTAATATATTATATCTTATTTTTATTTTGCATTGAAAAATCTTAAGCTCTAAATTTTCCCTTAATATTTTAATTTGCTTTCTAATAATATGTATTAGAAACCCTAACTGTAGTTAAAACCCTTAATTGATTTTATTGCCACTTTTAAAATCTCTTATATATTTTTATTTTATTAATCAAGTTCTCTAATCAATTTTTTTTATAGATTGTATATTATATTGTATTATAATACATAATTGCATATTATATTATTGTATTCCTTTTCGCCGAGTTGATCGTCGCCGAGTTTACCATCGTCGAGTTGGCCATCGCCAGTGTTGCCAGTCTAGTACAATTGTACTAGATCTAGTACATTCTCTGAGAATCTGGTACTCTAGTACACTCGAAACAAAATCTCGTACTTTTTTCAGCGTACGTTTTCATTTGAAGTGTAAAATATAAGTATTGGTCAAAACTTGCAAGAGAAATTAAAATAGTTGTTAAAAATTACTTCAGAGATAAAATAGTAAATATTTCTCGAGAGATAAAACATTGTTTAAAAATTGCACGAGAGATCAAATATTGTTCAAAAATGGCTTGAGAGTTAAAAAAGTGTGTTAAAAATTTGTCGAAGTATAAAATAGTATTATAAATTGCTTGAGGGGTAAAATATTGTTCAAAAATTGCTCTAGGGATAAAAATACTGTTAGAAATTTAATGAGAGATAAAAATATTTAATAATTTTTGACAGATTAAATAGTATTATAAATTGTTGAAATCGTGTTCAAAAATTGCTCGAGCGATAAAATACTATTAGAAAATGCTCGAGAGATAAAATATTGTACAAACATTGCTCGAGATATAAAACATTGTTAAAAATTTATCGAGAGTTAAAATATTTTTATAAATTTGTCGAGAGTTAAAATATTGTGCAGTTTGCTAAAGAGATAAAAAAGTTGTTAAAAATTGCTCGAGAGATAAAATAATGTTAGAAATTTATCGAGAGATAAAATATTGTTTAAATATAGCTCAAGAGATAAAAAAGGTTTAAAAACTGTTCGAGAGATAAAATAGTATCATAAATTATTAAAATCTTTTCAAAAATTACTCGAGAATTAAAAAATACTATTAAACATTTCTCGAGAGATAAAATAGTGTTAGAAATTATTAAAATTTTGCTTAAAAATTGCACAGGAGATCAAATATTGTTCAAAAATAGCTTGAAAGGTAAAAAAGCTATTAAAAATTGCTCGAGTGATTAAATAGTGTTAAAAATTGTACAAAAAATTTTGTACAAACATTTCTCGAGGGATAAAAAAAGTTGTTAAAAATTGCTCGAGAGATAGAATACTGTTAGAAATTTGTTTAAAAACTGTTCGAGAGATAAAATATTATCAAAAGGTGTTAAATCTTTTTCAAAAATTGCTCGAGAGATAAAATAGGGTTAGAAATTGTTAAAATTTTGTTTAAAAATTGCACGAGACATCAAATATTGTTTAAAAATAGCTTGAAAGGTAAAAAAGGCTATTAAAAATTTCTCGAGTGATTAAATAGTGTTAATAATTGTACAAACATTGTTCGAGGGATAAAAAAAAGTTGTTAAAAATTGCTCGAGAGATAGAATACTGTTAGAAATTTATCGGGAGATAAAATATTGTTTCAAAATAGCTCAAGAGATAAAAAAAGATTTAAAAACTGTTCGAGAAATAAAAGAGTATCAAAAGGTATTAAAATCTTAT